AGAATACGTTTTTCAATTAAATTAATTGAAAAACGTATTCTCAGAATACGTTTTTCATGTAAAAAAAAGTGGTGGGCACTGCCCACCGTGGGCAGGTGAGCGGGACTGATATAAACTATATACATTATTAAATGACAACATTGATGGTAATTGTGATATTAGAGATAACAGTCTTAACTATTTATAGAATAAATTAAGTAGTAATTCCAATAGTACATGAGGCAAAATCATGAATTTAGTAAATCAAAAACATTTTAGATCGAATTGCAGGTGAAATTGTCCACAAAATAGGTCAATTTTTAAATATTGGGACCTAATTATTGATTAGTTGAATCCAATAGTAGTGATGTCCCTTATTCTTTCTTTCTTGTCTTTTCCTGAGTTAATTTTTTTTCCCCAAAATTTTACACTATTTTATTATTATTATTATTATTATTATTATTATTATTATTATTATTATTATTATTATTATCAACGCTAACACAAACATCCACATAATCTCTAATGGGATGGTTTATACAATTATTCCGGTTTTGTTTGTTAATTTTGAAAAATGTGGTAAGATTGGTTGTTAATAGGATTTTGAGTTTACATTAAAATAAAATAATTAAAACAAATTTGATATAAAAGTACGAGAGAAATTATGTGAAGTGATTGTTAGTTAAATTGTATAAGTGAGATGAATAGTTAATTAGATTTTATGCGGTGTGCAATAATAATTAAATTATAATTTTTAAATAAATTGATAAGATTTAGAATAGTTAGGTTGAATTATGTTGAATCGAATTTGAATTAAAACAAGTGACTGATTAAAAAGTAAATAAAACTTCAAAAATTATGTACCCAACCCTACTTGGGGATATACTTCAAGATTGGTGCCTTTCTAGCTGAAATGCATTGTTCTACCCTTATTTGGGAACTTGCTAAAAAGTGAGGTTGGAGTAGAATGAGAATATTTCATAATTTTATTAAGTCCCATGAAATTAAAATATTGGATTTTTTAAAGTTCCAATGGCCAGGTGGAATTGATTTATACTTGGAAAAAAAATGTTGGAAACATAGTTTTGAGACTCAGACAGGCCCGACGGGTCGATCCAGGACACGATCAACCTGGAGCCGAAACTGATGTGGCTGAGAAATTTGGACCGTGCAACAAACGATCCGATCAAATTCGGTCTAAATCCGGCCAGCCCGGTCTTGCCCCGATCAACACGGGGCATTGACCCCGGGTGGGTCAACTCGGTTGACCCGCCCCTATATATATATTTGGAGTTTTATCAATACAAGATCCGAAAAGATGGGTAAACTATCAATGCGGGGCTTGAAAGATTTTTCTTCTCAATTCGGGACTTGAATGTTATAAAACTATCAAATTAAAGACCCGAAAGATGGGTAAATTATCAATACGGGGCTTGAAATATTTTTTTCTCAATTCGGGACTTAAATGTTATCAAACTATCAAATTAAGTCTAGAATTATAAAAACTCATAACACCATTAAATTTAGAGTTTAAAAAAAATAAAAGATTGGTGTTTACTCACATAAAATAATAACTAAACATTTGCATAATATTAAAAAAGAAAAGAAAAGAAATAGACGATAGCAAGGAAACCGAGCAAGAGCTTAATACTTTGCTTAATTTTCTCCAACTATCTCGTATTTTCCTTAATTTTCTTCATTTTTTTTTTCTTTTTCTTTTTTTACTTTGTAACAAATTTGGTGTTTTCAAACTTCAAATTATCTCTAAATTTAATGGTGTTATGAGTTTTGTTAATTCTAGACTTAATTTGAATAGTTTGATAACATTTAAGTCCCGAATTGAGTAAAAAATATTTCAGGCCCCGCATTGATAATTTACCCATCTTTCAGGTATTTAATTTGATAGTTTTATAACATTCAAGTCTCGAATTGAGAAGAAAAATCTTTCAGGCCTCGCATTGATAGTTTACTCATCTTTCGGGTCTTCTATTGATAAAACTCCTATATATTTTTTAATTTTTAAAGTTTTTTTTTGTTTTTAAAAATTAAAATTTATATATATTCATATAGTAAATATTTATATACAAAACATTTAATTTTGTTACTTTTATGACAAAATACTCTATATATAATTTTAAAAATTTTTAAAATTTAGTACACGGTTCAACAATTGACCAAGTGACCCCAACGGTTAAACCGATGATCCAGTAATCCGGAGACTTGCCCGAGTCGATTCCGGGCTTTAAAAACTATGGTTGGAAAGCTTATTTCGCGACGAATGATATAAGTTATTATAGTTTTGAATAGATTTTTTGAATAACTGAATTTAATTAAACAAAAATTTGGGGGCTTAAGAAAAAGTAGTTAAAATTATATGAATAGATAAATAGTTAATTAAAGTTGATGTGTTGTGTATAAATTATTAATTAATATTATTTAGTATATTTATAATATTAAAAGAGATTTAGTTTAGTTATCAAATTAAATTTTGAGTTAAAAAAGTTATCAGTATTCAATAAGCCCACACTTGTTACACTTGATTACGGCCCGCACGACTAACGAGGGCCCGCGACCCAAAAGGCTTTAAATTGCGTTTCCCCCTAGACTACTCCACTATGGGCAAAGCAGTGCGATTATGACTCATGTATATAGTCTTAGCGCCATTGTCCTTATTACCCCTTACTTCTTAAATATATTTACCATTACACCCTTGTATGTTGTAAAAATTTCCAAGTTTTGGAAACCCAACTGAGAGA